ACGTTTACGTGCGAAGTAAAAATATTGTAACGTTTAGCAACTATAATAAATTACCTATATAAAATTATTGTTATTTGCTTTTGACACGACATCTAACTAAATAGTTTGTTTTGTGGTTTAAACGCGAATTGCTGGTCACGTAATCTGAGATTCGATGACCGTATGTAGTTGTGAAACTGTTGGAAGATGATGACTGGATTTACATTTACATTATTTTTATCTGTTTATAATTCATATGGTAAACTTTTATTGTTTATTAAAAAAAGGTGTAGGTCATCCGCTCCTCCTGAGCTGCGGATTAACGGATTAACGGGTTCGGCTTGAAGGAGGTATAGGAACGGGGTGGTTTTTAGTCAGTAAGAGTCTGCCTGACACTTTATCTCGCCCAAGGCGGGAGAAGTCATTGGATGATTTTTCCCCTCTAATTCTATCAAAGAGTATTTTCTTAGTTTTCGATCCTCGTGATCAAGGAAAATATTGGTTAAAAACCTATTTTAAATTTTCCTTATCGAAGGCTCACTTCATTTGCAAAATGTAGGTGTACCACAAGGTGCTACTATTTTATCATCGTCCAAACTCAATCGTGGTGTAATATTGAATTCAAATATGAATCTTCCAACGAAACGGCCTCACCGAGACACATTAGGTATTATTCTCTAAACAGCATAATAAAAATTCGTCCGAACCAAACTCGTCAATAACCGGAAATCGAATCGCGACACAAAACTATTTAAATCTTCTTTAAATTCAGAGCACATTATGAAACTTTGCAGTTATAACACTACCAAAATCAAAACTAAAGAAACATTTTCTCTTGAACCGGAAAAAGATCAATTTCGCAATTTGTATTAGTTTTTGAAAATGAATGATCTTTGATCAATTAATGAACCGCAGGTTTAACGATTCTGTTTATTAGGAAAGTGATAGTAAAGCACCTTGGTTGCACGGTTGCACCGATATAATCGCCATTTAAGATTACTACAGTTGTCCTTTGTGTAGTAAAAATAATCTCTGGTTGCAGTCTCTAAAAGTCAAATTTAAGGTGTGTCGCATAGCATTTAAGAATATCAGAATTAAGTATCCATGAAGATTTTCCTGGCTTAAGACGTAACAGGCATAAAACCGAGCAATTTTTCAAAAAAGGGTAACCACCTTATACCTAGTAGTAGTTGATACCAAGGTGAAATAAATGAGGGGTATTCATATAAATCGTAAGCTGAATCAACACCCACAAATAAATTTCAATATCCCAATAAACCGAGCAAACGGATAACTTTAAGAAAACAACGTAGCAACCGACCATTGCATAATACAGCCGAAATTAATAATAATAATATCGCAACGGAAACACAAATGTTTACAATACTTGGTACCGAGCTGGCTGACTCATATACGTCTTGTATGAACAGGCCATTTATAACGTTGTTATTATTTTTTGGCCTGATTCAGTAACCGTTTTCTGGGAAGAAAAGGTCAAGACTGTAGTTTTTATTATAGCAAATAGTTTTTCAAAGTGGGTGGCTTATGTAGTTCCACTTTCGTTTTACTTGAAACTACATTGCTATAAATTGACACTAATGCAAACTTCTTGCGGCTATAATTATATTTTATATTTACGGTCCATTATTACTTATGGTTGTTCAAAACTTCAATGATCCAACTATGCAAGATTCATGAAATCTGTAATTACCAACATAATCATGAAGATCCACTTGGGTACTGTATCAGCATATCAACTCGTTTCCTTTTACTCTTTGACATAGGTCTCCACGGCCCACTGCTTACCACTTATTGGATCTTCATAATATCTATTATAACTACCCCAAAAAATGATAAATACTTACAGCAATCTAACTCTCGTTTTTACCATCTTTGCTGTAGCCACTGAGGCGATATGGTCACTGGGACAGTAGGAGACCAAGAACAAGAACATCCCTGTAACTGTTAATTATGTTATTTAACTTTATTTCATTCTTATCCTTGAAATAACACACTACGAAGGCATTTCCAGCATCTACCTATACACATAAACTATTTATAATCCATGACTCACATAGCCCAGTTTATATGGCTGTGTCCGCTGCTGTACTGCTATTGTCTGTCTCAAACTGGGTCAGGATAAAAATACTGTTTACTTTAGTCCGTTTATGTTTTTACATGCAGATGAGTTAATTTTACCAAATATGGCCAAGGTATTTCTAAATTCACACGTTTCTTTGTGTAAGCGTTATTTTATATTTAGGATGTGTAGGAAATCAAATATAACCTAATATATCATTTTGGTAGCCACTGACAGTTTTCTTATTGGCTTGCTGAAATATCTCCTCTCTACAATTTTGCCTGTTTTGACTCATATTTCTTCATTCTTGTTGTTTCCAACGCTTGTTCAGATCTTGTTTATTTCATCTGGCGTCACAGTGTTACTCATTAACTGTAATACGCTCCACTGCGTAATAAAGGCATTCCTACTCAGGGGTTGCCATTATCCTTACATTGGAAGGGTGATTTAATCACAGTTAGACTACCAAAAATGTCTGAGGAAGCCTTTGCCCACTCTGCGCCTGCTGGTCGCAGATTTTGGATTGTCATTACCCAGGTCTAAATACTTACTATTTAAAACATGTCGTCATCAAAAACTGTCATCGTATTCCACCTGTATTTATTTTGTAAAATAGCAGTCTTACGTTAATATCTATATTTACAGTTGCATGACTTTGTACGACCTTTTTCACATAGGTATTTGAAATTTCAACTGTAGACGGTTTATTGACGTCGGAATGTTGGCTAATTGTTTTATTATACACCGTGAAGGTGGTACTGCCATATGGCTTGCCATTCACGGTGTAAGCTCTAAAAATAATATAATTTCGTGCCTATTTTGACTATGAGTCATTCAGATTTAACAGTGGTAGACAATTATGAGGCCTATGTATTGTAGTCATCGACAATTGGGATCTATTGTCATCTGGATTGTATTGGCTTCGCTTAGTCTGATGTTCCGTCATCATCATCATCATTATCATCATATCAGCTACTAGACACTCTCTGCTTCCTCCAGACCTTCCCCGGTGACTTAATACCTACAAGTCAATTTTGACGGAACTACTCAGTCAGGGTCAGTATTAATTACAACTCTTAAAACTGCAATCTTTAAACGCAGGGATTATGGCACACGCTCTTTTAAAGGCAAGGTCCATAATCTAGCAGTAGACTATCACTATTCATCTTGAATCACTACATATTATAAAACAAAGTCGCTATCCGCCGTCAGTCTGTCCCTATATATGCTTAGATCTTTAAAACTACGGGACGAATTTTGGTGCGGTTTTTTAATAGATAGAGTGCTCCTTAAGTAAGGTTTATATGTATAATACATGCATATTGCACCCGTGCGAAGCCGGGGCCGGTCGCTAGTACATTTGATAAATTAATTTTAAACGAAAACTGAATAGACATGTATCTACAAAACTGTTTCTTTTTACCCAAAACTCAAATTATTTCACCTTTCCCCTCCGAAGGTCATACAAGACGTACCCAAATACTTTAAAAGCAACTTCACACGATGTACATTGTACAAAAGGAGCATCGAACGAGCAATTGACGCTGCATTGTTACCTAATTGTTGTATTATACTCTTGTGAAGTGGGCCAACGTTTGCGAAAACTGTTTGCGCAACGCCCAATGGACTGTAGCCTGCGTTTTAGATGCGAATGATATTATCGTGTCTTTCTGATTTCCAAAATTTTTTGGGTTACACGTTGGTCTAAGTCTGTTAGTAGACATTCAATAATGTAAGCAATCGGCGTCGCCCATGGACACCTAGAATACCAGAGACGTTGCATGTGCGTTACCGGCCTTTTAGAATTAGGAATTTGAGGATTGTTGGAAGTTCAGCAATTGGAGAAGAGGGGGGGAGGGGTAATTGTGTCTCCGGTAATCTCACTCACACGACGGAACACAACGCAAGCGTTGTTTCACGTTGGTTTTCTGTAAAGCCGTAGTATCGCTCCGGTCGAGCCGGCCCATTCGTGCCGAAGCATGGCTCTGGAACACTTGAATGCTATTCTTTTATTAAGCACAGTTGCGAAGGAGGAGAACAGAGGATATAGTATCCTCTTATTTCAAAAATATTCGCTTCTGGACCCCGGACACCTCTTCTAAATGAGATAATTTATCATAATTGCTACAGACGGATTAAAGACTTTAGTTTAAAATGTTTAGGAAGGTCCAGGTTGATCAGAGAGCACTGCTGCCCTGTCTCTGTTAAATATAAAGCCTCTAATATTTCCCACGGGAAGAAAAACGATGATCACAAACGTATGTAAATATAATCTACTTAAATACCAATAATTTACAAACACAGCTAAAACCGTGCATAAAATGTAATTGCAATGCAATTTTCCTCAATAGATTGCGGTATTGAATACCTGCATGTAAGTTACGTGCTGAATATCCATTTTAATTATCATATGTCGACTTGAGCTGGTCAGTCACCTAGGATTTACGTTTGTAAGTTAATCAATCGTATATTGCACAGTAATTTTAAGCCTTTAAAATAGTAATATTAATATGAAAAGTGCACTTGCCCATAAACATGTTATTTTGAATTTGGAATATGACTTTGACTATCCTACCTATGCGTACCTATGTATGTACGTATTATAACTCATACATACATACATACATACATATTGAAATCATTATGTTTTACGGCTTATTCATGTAACTGTTTAACGAGTGAACTCGACTAGTTTCAAGCCATACTAGGGGCCCATAGTCATGAGAACAATTAAATAAAGCAATAAATATTTTTATGTATTTATTTATTTACAATCATAACAGTGTACAGATTTTGTGTTTACAACTTATTCTCACAAAACCGAAAAGTTGATAATCATTTGAAAAGTTTAAGCATTGGTTTGGGTATTAAACTCTGTGTTTAACAAGACAATTAATGAAATTAAACATTATAATTAATATAAAACCATTTTCCATTACAGGTATGGCACAAAGGCTGCTTCAAATGTCAAGAATGCGGCATGACTCTCAACATGAGGACGTACAAAGGATATGGAAAGCTGCCATATTGCGAAGCGTGAGTATTAACATTTGATTAATTAAACCATCTTAACTCCCTAATAATTCTCAAATCCCTAATATGTAGTTCTCAAACATAACATCACGCCTTTTATCCCCGAAGGGGTAGGCAGAGGTGTACATAATGCCACTGTACAATATAACACCCACTTTTCACTATTTATGTAATAAGTCCCATGTAATAGGGGGTGAGCCTATTGCCATATTGCCGAAATGGGAGAAAAAATAAATAAACAAATTATAAAATTATAAACAATATCCCTAATAATATTGTCGTCTATAGTATGATAAATAAATACTGTTTTTTCCATATACCGGGCACATTTCCAGACTCCGTGCTACTACTGTGAATTTTTTGAAAAACCCAGTATTACTTTGCCCGACCCGGGAATCGAACCCGAGACCGTTGAGGCCATTGAGGCAGTCACAATAATTCTCAAGCCCCTAATAATTCTCATATCCATATTCCCCAAAAGGCTAGCAACAGACTTGTGACTCCACTGGTGTTGCTGGTCACAAAAGACGTAGGCCGCTAAAAAAAAAAATTATGAATGAATTTTATCACCATTGTCATATTGGCAACAAGATGTCTGACCTGCTCATGGCCTATGTTCAGCAGTAGACGTCTTGTCCCCCAATGACTTCTAATTTTACTCTTAGTCAAGAACTTTGAGCCACTTCTTCTCTCCGTAGGAGGGTTTACCATTTGTTTATGTCAAATTTATTTTGTAATCTCCTAACTAAAATCGATTTCAATCCGTTTTTGACTGGAGTTTGAATGAAGTTTCTGTCAAAATTCTACAGATTTTGAACTCAAATCGGTCATTAATTTCAGCCGTTAATGCCTTTTCACACGTCCCGGTTGCCGGATAGCCGGTATTGGGTACCCAGCGCGGACTGTATGCTGATAGATAAAGCAGTGATACTAGTTATATGCCTAGGAATAAATATATAACTATATCCCTAGGAATATAACTATATTACGGCTTTATCTATCTTACTGCGACATATAAAAATTACGCCGGTACATGTGAAAGCTACATTACATGGCCATACACTGCGCCTCCTGCTAACACGCAACCGGAACGTATAAAAAGGCACTTAGCCCATACTTAAATCATCCGGAAAGACTCGTAATGGTGGCAAATGTGATCCACAAACGAATTGTTTTATTTAAACTTAAAATTCAAACCAGTGACCACAAAATTTTACTTTCATTCCATTATAATTATGTAAATTCACACCCATTACCTAATGGTAATCAGTTAAAGGTTCGGCCCATTCATATCACGCGGCACAGGTCAAGGTCACAAACACGTTTATTTAATAGTTTTCTAACGAATTTTTATTTGAATAACGTGTTTAGAACATTTTATGTATGTAGTTGGTAACATAGCTTCACGCATTTTTATTCCCCAAGAGCGTATGTAGAGGTGCACCAATTATTCACCAATAATACTTAATGTATGTTATGAGATTGAATTTCATGTAAAATCAAAGATCTAATCATTCTTGAATCAATATGGAACCTATTGTCTTCCACCACGCCTGTCTGTCTGTTAATTATCGTAAACCGACTATACCACCAACTCACACCACTGAACAAAGGTTTATGCTGTTTTCAATAGAATAATCCTTGAAGAAAGCTAAATGTAAAAGTCATAGTCATTTGAGCTCTAAGTTCAATATTACATATTTACATACATAATTTCACGCCTGTCTCCTATGTGGGTAGGCAGAGACTAGGGAATGCCAATTACTACGATTCCTACATACCTCTTTCGCTTCATCAACAGTCATCAATCTTTTCATGCATGCTCGTCGGTTAAGGGTACTTTTAATTTGGCCCTTCTTTAATATATCGTCAATCTGGTCAGTATATGTCCGTCTAGGGCGACCTCTACTGACGGCCCCATTCATATCCGCTCTGTATACTTCTTTCGTTACTCTACTCTCATCCATCCTTGCTACATGTCCAAACCAGCGTAACATTCCCTTTTTAATCCTTGTCACTACATCATCTTTCAATCCACACCTTTTTTCTAATAACACTATCTTTCACTCGATCACTCAATTTTAGTTTAAGTTCAAAATTATCGATGGAAAACAAGCATTTTTTAAAAAACATTCTTAATATGACTTTTATGATGATTCACATATTCATTCAAGTTGGAACTTGTCATGTATTTACGTAGGCGAACCTGAATTAACAAGCATTGGATTCATCCATTTATTGTTTTATATATTTTGTGGTGTCAAACTCTCAAATGGTGACGAAGAAATGTATTTTCTTTCCTCTTCTATTGTCAATTACATGATTCATAAGGTCTGAAAAATATTATTGTTTCCTTCGATGTCAGGATGAAATAAATTCTAACAGCAAAGCAGCTTGGCTCTGCCCCAAGCACTGAACCCCTACATCACTTCAATTTTCCATAGTTAAATGCTTCATATTTAATAGATCCCAAGTTGGAAATCTTCATGAAGCTTCCCTTATCTGGGGGTGACGAAGGGGTATGTCAAACTCTTGTTGTTTAAAAAGTCCATTGTTCTGTCCTTCAGAAAGGCCAAATATGTATTCAGATCCGTCAAGCCCTCCTGTAGATACCCATTAGCTGTTCTGGTCACTTACAGTGGCAGAGCTTGTCACCTTTTACTGGTGATGCATCTACTCGTATGCCGCTATCTTACAAAAATAAATGGCAAACTTCTTTTTAAGAGTTCAGCCTTTGTTCAGCAATACCTAGACATACTCTGTGTGGGAGAGCCATGCTTCGGCACGAATGGGCCGGCTCGACTGGAGCGATACCACGACCGAGCAGAAAACCGACGTGAAACAACGCTTGCGTTGTGTTTCGTCGTGTGAGTGACATGACCGGAGGCCCAAATACTTCCCCCTCCTCCCCAGTCTCCCAAATCCCCCCACAATCCTCAAATTCCCAATTCCCAAAAGGTCGGTAACGAACTTGTAACGCCTCTAGTATTTCAAGTGTTCATAGGAGGCGTTGATTGCTTACCATCAGGTGATGCGTCAGATCGTTTAGCGGCTTATCCCATAAAAAAATACTCCAGTTTACGATGATGCCAGTGATACTCCACAGACCTACAATTAACAACACAGTGTGTCTAGTTGTATTAGTATTGTTACTCACACTGGATTACTCATAAACACGACGTAATTTGTTATGCTACACTGCATTACGTGAATCATGCGTATGCGCAAATGGAGATGTTTGTTTGTATGTTGTTTTCGTGAAGATTTGTGGTTTTTAATCAATAGCAACGTAATTAGCGTTCTAGCAAGTGGTATGCGTAATAAATATTTTTTTAAGTTGTAAACAAAAGTTTGCAAGTTATTCTGCCTATGTCAAATTCAATGCTAGCAAGAGTTTCTAATCTCGTCCTCCTAAATATACCTACATACTCTATTAGCACCCCTAAGCAACCAAAAATTACAAAGGTTTTATTAGTTATTATTCTCATCCGTGATCGACCCACTCTAAAGGCCTCCCTACATGGACATCCGAAACACCAGAGGCGTTGCAAGTGCCTTACCGGCCTTTTAGGGATAAGGAATTTGATGATATCTTTCACTCCTAAAAGCATTCTGTGCAAATCTTTGTCTTGGTATCAAATTCGTCCCGTCATCTCCTACAAAAATTACGAAGACGTCACGAAACTTTACTTTTTTCCTGATAACGGCATGCAAGAACTGTTTAATATCATCATCAGCCTGTATTAGTCCACTGCTTTTTTTTATGAGGAGGGAAAATCATCCAATGACTTCTCCCGCCCGGGTGAGGCGAGAGGGAATATCAGACTGACCCCATCTGTGCTGGTCTGATGGCTCCTTAGGGCGCGCGCGGAATGCTCGGCGCCGTACGCTCGGGCCTGGTTCTGGTCGAGCGGCTCGTATGCTAGCCATCCGCAGGGCCGTGCTTACGGTGGCCGGAGATCGTCTCGCGATCATTAGTCCACTGCTGGACATAGGCCTCTCCAATGGCACGCTACTGAGCTCGGTCGTCAGCTCTTCTCATCCAACCACTGTTTAATATGGATACCTCCAATCAGAATCAGCCACAATGCTTAATAAACAGCTAAGAATAGACATTCCGGTATGACGAAATCAATTACAAACATGTTTGTTACGTGCGTTACGTCAAAACAGTCTGATTTCAATGTAAATGAGTGGCTGGTCAACAACTTGTTCAAGTAATTATGCAACGACATGCATATTTTATCCTGTTATGGTATTGGTTCAAGTAACCAAGTGTTGGGTATGTGTCGATGTTTTCTGTGTTCTTAAATTCAAATACAGTATATGAGAGACTTGGCAGACATTTTTCTCAATTTCTTTTGATTCGACTGAGTGACTGATTGAGTTGACTGCCTCGTTGGCAGAGTCGTCGCAAGTGCAACTGCCTGGCAAGGGGTCTTGGGTTCGATTCCCGGGTAGGGCAAATTTTTACAGGGTTTTAAAAAAAATCACAGTACTATCACGGAGTCTGGAATTGTGCCCGTTATATGGTAATAGGCTCACCCTCTATTGCATGGGACTCATAACATAAATAGTGAAAATTGGGTACATTGTACAGTGGCATTAAGTGCCGTAATGTGCACCTCTGCCTACTCCTTCGGGGATAAAAGGCGTGATGTTATGATGTTATGTCTTTTAATTCGTTGATAATTTCAAAGTCTGTTTAGTTAGAATTTTGAGTACCAAAAGCTGACAGTGCTTAGAAATATATTTTTTTACGACGACTGTGTAAACTTTTGAAAATATCCTAAGCTTTTGGTTTAGAAATTAGGGGATAATCGCTTATCGCCTCATTAAAATCGCCCCATTTCACCTGTAAAATGGCACCAACTAGGTCCTCAAAATAGACCATTTTCAGAGCCCTCACTGTATATTACGTCACACGCTTAGATAGTGATCCGACATAGACCTGGTATTCCTGAACACTTAGAATTCAGCAAGAAAACAACAGTTAAATCGATAAACATTTCACATCTCTACCTCATAAGGTCTACAATACTGCATTTATTAGCACTTGCAGTCTGTTTGTCATCAATGGATGGAATGTATTTATAGACCCGTCACTCACAAACCTTGGCCTGATTCTCATGACAATTATTCAGTAAAAACTTGTTATTGTCGCGCCCGCGCCCGCATGGCGAAAAATGGCGCTGGTGTAGTTTTTAGTCGCTACTTTATAAAAGGTCTTAATTACATGGATTTTGGAATTAAATAATTTCGAATTCACAAACTGGTTGACGCCGATTTAAGTGCTACTATTATAAAAGGATATATGGATCTATGTATGTTTGTTACGCTTTCATGCAAAAACTATTGAATTGATCTAAACTAGATCTGACATAGAGATATATTATTATAATCTGGGATAACACATTGACTATTTTTTCCTAGCACCGCGGGCGCAACCGCCGCAGAAGTAGTTTAAAATAGTTAATTGTAAAATATCTCTACATCCATCTTAGATCAACAATAATACATAGCACATAATATATGTCTGTATATGCAAATACTAAGTGTTTATTTATCGTTAATATGCACAACGGTGTAATTATGACACGGTACACAACTCACGCGCACGTTGGGTAAGGTCAGGGACACGTAATCGAACGTTTACGCTTTCTCTGCAATTTTGATTGTGTATTAGTGATTATTTTAGTGGGTTTTGTAAGGTACACCCGCAATTTCGACTTTATACACAGTTTATCAACAGCCTATAAATGTCCACTGCTGAGCAAAGCCTCTTCTCACATGGAGAATGTTTGAGCAGTAATCACTACGCTTGCTCAATGCGGGTTGTTGAATTATAAGCCCAGGTTTCATCACGATATTTTCCTTCACCGTTTGTCACTGGTGTCTGAATAATCTTAGAAAGTGCATATAACTCGAAAAAAGTCACATTGGTACTTGCCGTTGGTAGGTTTCGAACCAGCACCCTCATGCATGCGAAGTAGGCGTCTTAAACCTCCGGGCAACTACGACACCTATACACAGTTAATTATTGTGTTTTCGGCTTACTCACGTAACTGTTTGACGTAAAAGAAGAATGTTTACGGTGTATCTACACCGTAAACGTTTTAATATTTTATCACGATGTCACGTAAAATGAGAATTACTTGAATACCAGCGTGACGTCACAATAATGAAAGTTACTCAATACAAATTGAACACACTTTTACTGCAAATAGCGAAAACTAATCCGTTGTTTTATTGTATTTAGGTTGATTTTCTGTTTGTTAGGTTTGCGAATTTTATGCTCTAATGCTATAATTTTGTCGGTTTACTAAGTTGTCAATTTTGTGTTAGTGACTGCTTTATACGCGAGTTTACCGGCTAATCTCTCCACGGATGGGGCCCAATAAGGCTGATGCCGATACGTAGCCGCGGAGGACTTAACGGATTGCCTGGGCTCCGGCTCAAAGGGCAGGAGTAGGAACGGGGTAGTTTGTAGTCTATAAGAGTCTGACACTCCCTCCCGTCTCATCGAGGCGAGAGAAATCATTCGATAATCCCCCCCCCCTCTTAAAAAAACTGGCTTATCTCTAGATTTGGTCATAAGATCTACAGATACTTAAGTAAATGAGATTGGCCGTAAGGAATTGGGATGGGACGTCTTGTGCGCATGTGTTTTGACTAGTCCTCTGACTAGACCTTAGTCCTCTCATAAATGCTGATTCTTATGTTATGTTTATTACACCCTGACTAAGTATTTTAGCACATCAAATACTAAAGTAACCTTTATATTAATAAACATAATACTATCTTCCAGACATGTTCCGAAAGCGAAGCACACGACGATGGCTGAGACGCCGGAGCTGAAGCGAATAGCCGAGAACACAAAGATACAGAGCAACGTCAAGTACCACGCCGACTTTGAGAAGAGCAAGGGGAAATTCACACAGGTAAATGCGCACATACACTTTGTTACAATATTTGTATTGTAACTTTCGTGAGACATCCTTACCATAGTATAAAGAACAAAGTAGGTTATCTTCATACAAATGCTCCGCGCGCGGCTTATATGTGTGCGCCATAGTATCTATGCGTCGACGCACGCACACTTTAACAAAATCTCGACCCGTTTCTCAGTGCGCCAGGCAGGGCTAACACTGCACGAGGTTCGCGCGCGCATCACTTTTCGGCACTGTTAAATGAAATAAAAAATGTCTGATAACCGTAGAAGAACGTATTGCTGCGTGTTTGGGTGTCTTAATAATTAATCGATTCCAGAACTGTCTCTGTTCAGATTACCTATTGAACAGGAAAGGTAAGCTAGTCACTTTTTCTAGCATAATATAATTTGTAGGTACTTGATGATGAGATACCTACTTACTTATTCTTACTCTTATCATTCTTCATAGTTCCTACTCAACCAGAAAGAAGAATTACCTACTAACTACTATACTTAAATATTATAAGAAAATGTGGTATTGTATTGTTTATTTCACAGTTTATCTGATTTGTTAAGAGCGTGACCGTGTCGCATTTTTCCATATAACTGTATTCCCAAATTTACTTTCTTTATAAGCTTTTTATTTTTACTAAATTTATAAATTGATAAAATATTCAATCATAATATGCTTTTCATTTCATAAATTTAGATCAAGTGCTGCTTGTTCGAAAATATTAACAAAAAGTAAAAGTGACAACCCTGGAGATCAACGCAAGAGTAGGCTAATAACTCGGCGGGCGGCCTTAGATAACCTACTGTGTTCTTTATACTATGTCCTTACTATTCCTTACTAATATTATAAATCGGAAAGTGAGTTTGTTGGTTTGTTTGTTTGTTCCGACTTCACGCCGTAACTACTAAACCGATTGCATTGAATTTTTGCAGACGTAAAGTTAGAAGTCCGGATTAAATAATAGAGTACTTTTTATCCCGGAAAAAATTGATATTCCCGAGGGAAAACAAAAGTATAGGTATAGATGGCACTGTATGTATTGGTATATGTCACATAGGCTACTTTTATCCTTTTGTGACGCTAGCGAAGCCGCGGGTAAAAGCTAGCACTAAATAAATTAATGTTTTCGGCTTACTCACGTAATAATTTGACCAGGAAATCGACTTGTTTCAAGCCATGCTAGAGGCTCATATTCATGAGCAGTATTTCGCGACTCAAGACGCGGCGACTGTCGCGCTGCTACTACACTTTGTTAGAAGTTGGAGAGCCATGCTTAGACACAAATAGGCCGGCTCACGGCCACAGAAAACTGGCATGAAACTACTGAAGCGTTACTGGAGATCCAAACCGGGCTTCCTCAAAAGGCCATGCCAGTATCGGATTCTTTTGGTGTTGTAGGTGTCTAATGCAATTGCTGTGCAGCCTTGTGAGTTAGGTTACCAGGGACCTAATCCCTCCTCCCTCAGAACGTCAACAACGCATTTGTTACACTTTTAGTGTTGTGAGTGTCCATGGGTGACGCTGATTGCTTACTATCACGTGATCCGTCTGTTCGTTTACTGCCTTATCTCTCCAGATTCCAGCCCAATACCCTGATGTCCAACTCGTTTGCCGCAGCTGCCATAAAACCGCTATCCTATAAAAGTCTCAAAATCAAGCTTTTATTTCAATTAGACCATAATTTGGGACTTTTGACACATCAACAAATACCTATAAAATAAGTAATACTCTGTCAGTCTGTCCCTTAGTGAAGCTAGGCAGGCGCTCCTTCCAAAATGTAGATTCTAGTGGAGAAAACCGAGCAAGAAACTCCATTCGCTACTCTTTAAAAATACAAATAATCTTTTAGCATACTCGTCGATTTCGGGTGGTTTTCTCCTATTTCAAGACGTCTCACACCCGATCGAAATTGAAAACGAATAACTGATTACTTATCAAGGTCTTAATCTTAACCCTAATTATTCCAGGTCGCAGACGACCCAGAAACCCTAAGAATTAAAGCGAACACAAAAATAATCAGCAACGTGGCGTACCACGGCGAGCTGGAGAAGAAGGCTCAGATGGAGAAGCAGCGGCAGATCAATGAGAACGGTGAGATTGTCGGTGAGTGGCCAATGTTTGTCTGTTTTTGTGTCACGTGGCGTGTTGGTTATGTTTGCTGTTGGCTGTTGGCACCAATGTTTGTGGTTTGGATCTGGATTCATGATTTTTAACACACTAGAATTAGAAATGTTTAGTTCTGACTTTGAAATTGAAGATTTTTTGGTCTAAAGGGAAAAGAAGTTTTGTCTTTAAATGTATTTATTTATTGATACTATAGAATACAACGTTATACAACCCCCTATGACATGGGACTCGTAACATAAATAGTGAAAAGTGGGTGTTACATTGTACAGTGGCATTAAGTGCCGTAATGTGCATCTTTACCTACCCCTTCGGGGACAAAAGGGGTGATATTATGTAATACTACGTTTTTACTATATTATTAGGTGTTCCCAAATTGGTACAGTGACCAAGTACAGGCTAAGGCTATGAGTCTGTACCCTTTAAAATCTGTGTATTTGTGATGACTGCTCACTGAAATGAAATGAATAAATTGTCTACACGGTTAGCACAGTACCTGGCAGTATCTTACTACGCAGAATGTTCTCAAGTTCGTTTCATGCTCTGATTTTTTTGTGCGATACACAAATGTAATGTTTGTGGAATATTTATCGCTTGTAAGCACCAACAACACGGGATAGAATGTCAGTATAAGGCAAAACAATAATTAAATAGTTAATCATATGAAAATTGCCGCCTCGTTGGCCGAGTGGTCGTAAGTGCGACTGCCGGGCAAGGGGTCTCGGGTTCGATTCCCGGGTCGGACAAAGTATTACTGGGTTTTTAAATATTCTCAGTAATTACAGTGGTATAATGTACTATACACCTCTGCTTATCCCTTCGGGGATAAAAGGCGTGATGTTATGTTATGTCATTGGGAAAGTATTCGTATACCTTTTTAAAAGGCCGGCAATGCACCAGTGCTTGGAACACCACTTCTCTGGTGTTCCGAGTATCCATGGGCGGCACTGACCGCTTACCATCAGGTGATCAGTCTACCAGTTTGCCTACAATTCCATAAAAAATTAAACAATATGAACTATACAAATGGTTTGTACCGTATTATATCGTAACGTAAGATTAATTAATCAAACGATTAATAAAGCATTATCCAGATCCAATCTACAGCACATTAATATTCAATTCACAACGTTTTCAATAGCAGTGTGATCGTCAGAGCAAGTTCTTAGTTAACTATTTGTTATATGGTGGTATTTCATTAATTAAGTAATACCTGAATGACCGAGCTTAGCACGGTGCCTTTTTTAGTATTTTTTTTTAGAAATAAAGTAAAAAATAAATAAAACAGACTAAGACAAAATAAAAAAAATAAATGATAACATTCGCACCGAGGTTTGAACTCGAGTGTCCAGCGTAGAAAGCGTATTATTCTATGTTACCACCTAAGTAAAACATTGTGGAACGCAATAAGGAATAAGAATTTATATACAAGAATTGTTTTAAAGGTATTAGATTTGTTATACGTATTTTGTGAGAAGGATGATCATATAACTCCATCTCTTTCTTATAAAACTTATCAACTTCAATAATTCTAATATGTAACATCTCTTGGACAGTAGTTCTCCAAGCATTATATCACCTGGTGGGGAGGATCCTCCTTTTGCGAACCATATTCTCTTTTCTCTAAATGTTCTTTCTCGGTTTCCAATTTACAAATTCTTTTAATATAGTGTCTGATTTTTGCTTTTTATTAAAAAATCCATATCATGTAACAGTTTTAAAATATTTCTTTATTTACTTAACTACTGGAAGGCGGTTAAAACGTATAATAAAGGCTCTGACAATCAAATTGCTATTTAAAAACATATCCTGTTTGCACAAACTGTGTCTATGTTCAATCATAAGGTTTTTTGTTTTGATCATATGTTGCTAACTACCATGTCGAAAAATAACGGAAAAATAACATTACAAGTGATTATCAATATTTTTAATAACTTCATTGGTTTGATATTTGGAAATTTGCTTGACAGCTAAGTCCGGGATACGATTTCTGAGTGATTGCAGTTTCTAATTTTAATTTATTTATTGAGTTAAGTAATCACTCTAATTAGCGACTTTAGTCCGTTTTTTAGATAAAAAATGTGATAGACTTTCATGTCATGCTATTAAATATAATTTTGAAATATTGTTGGGTGTAACTTGCATAAAGTCTTTTAGACTATGTACCTAATAAAATTGGGCAATAATTGTACCTAAGAAACTAAGAAAAAGTAATTGTATCGAACTAAACAGACCAATGGAACGACAAAATGTTATTTTTCCTTCCCCACACACATGTTTCTAATACTTGTTCCTCATTAGACGTACCATCGGACAACTATCATCAACAAATCGACAACTACGCGACGGAAATGCTGCCTCCAAACTCACCCCCACCTAACCTACCCCCTAAAAACCACTATCAGATCCCGTCTACCCAATACCAGCCCCCTGTCCAACCCACCCAGACGCAGCCGAAGCAAAACAGGCAATATCAAGAACAATATCCGGACTATCAGAGTCAATACTATCCTCAATATCAAGAATATCAATATCAGAATTATCCGCCGCCTCCGCAGCAACAGAGTCAACAACAGAAAATAGGGAGGATTCAGGACTATGACCCCATCAGTGATGGGCCCAGGGCCCCACCGAACACGCAGAGGGCCTCCGCTACACTTATCTATAATAGCACAAACGATGGCAAACGAGGTTTGTGATTTATACTACATTTGGATATTTGACTATTTTTTTATTTTAATATCACACCCATTATTGGAAATATTGGGTGTGATATTTTATGTTAGGGTGGATTGATTCGTTCTTTTTGGGGTCTAGGGGCTTTTTGGGGTCTAACTTTTGTGGGTTATTTTATGTTAGTGAAAATGAGTTTTAAATGTTGATTTTTTGTACATTAATATCGTGTTTTTGTCGTTATAATTAGGGCAATATTTTTTATGTTTAATGTTATTTGTGTTGTAAAATTATAAGTCAGATATCCAAATATTTCTTACATTCCTGTTCTAAATGTTCTTGGTATCATTCCATTTTTATGTTTCATTAGTTTTTTTGTTGTCATTACATTATGTGTCTGTGTTTGGTTTTGGGTTATTTTAATTATAATTTCTATAATTTTCCACTTAAAAGATACTTTAATAATTAGAGGATTATTTTTCTTTTAATACATACTTAATATTTATACTGAAAATAGTACTTAGTTATTTATTTTTGTGAACGACGTGAACTATTCTTATTTTAATATTTAATGGCTGCTAGAGAGATCTACATCCAGCTTATTAAATAAAAACAGTCTAATGATGTCATTGACCAACATATCTTCACGCCACTCAGGTGCTCACCAGCAATCAGGGCATCAGCAGCAACAGACGCGTCAGATCGGCCGCGTGACGGACCTCGATCCACTCGCCAATGAAATGCCACGCCCGCCTACTAATCATCACAATCAGGTAAACATTTCTAAGATATACGCGAAAAAGGTATCTTTAAAAAAAAGACTTTTAAACGTTGCCCCATGTTATGATTTTCTTTTGTGTGTTGTGGATGCATTTACAAATATATAATTTCATATACGCAATACGCCAAAACCGGAAGAGTAATTTGTGGATCTCACAATTGTATAGTCGTGGTGACGCGGACGTTTAAGACGCCCGCTTCTCTTGTATGAGCGTGCGGTTTCGAAACCTAACACCGGCATCGGCATCTGACTTGTTTCCATGTACTTTCTAAGATTAGGCACCACTGACAAACGGTGAAGGAAAACATCGTGAGGAAACCTGGGCTTATAATTTCTAATTATAAGTTTGTAATCGCCAACCCGCATTGAGCAAGCGTGGTGAATAATGCTCAAACATTATCTGTTTGAATTGAGGCCTTTGGTCAGCTGTAGCCACTTAAAGGCTGTTGATGATAACAAAAATAGTTTCCTATGGGGACCAATCCAGCGACACTGTTGCACAGCAGTCGTTTGCCCAGCCCCTGTGCCAACCGTGCAGGCAAATTAAGTTTAGAAAATAATTATCTAATATCCTACTTACATGTTGTTCAGCTTCTTATTGTAACTTACAGTCAGCATGTTCCTGAATTTACTGTAACTAGTGTCGAAATTCTAAAAGGCTACTCATTTTTAAGTCGCACTTAAGTATAGTTCTATCACTACAAATTCTTTGTAATATGACAGACACGGCACGATATTTAAGTACAACTTAATTCAGTATTAAGCAATATAAAATAGTCTTCAGATTTTTAACGATATATTTGTTTTATTTCCAGCGAGTGTACGTTGCTATGTATGACTACGAAGCGAGCGACAGTGATGAGGTAAGCCTATCTTTATCTCTAGACGTAGAAACCTTATTTGCGGTTATCCTACGTAGTATTGTAAATGCGAAAGTTTGTGAGGATGTATGTGTGTTTGTTACTTTTTCACGTGAAAACGGCTGATGGGTTAGGGATGGAATTTGGAAAAGGTTTATTCTGGTCTGGAATACATAGGTCACTTTTTATACCACGGAAACGCGGGCGAAACCCTTGTCAGAAGCTAGTTAGATGTAAATCTAAAAATGGGGACCTTTGCACCGAGCTACATTCGAAACTACGTACTATTGAGTTGAAATGGAATAGTAGACTGCCTCGTTGGCCGAGTGGTCGCAAGTGCGACTGCCGGGCAAGGGGTCTCGGGTTCGATTCCCGGGTCGGGCAAAGTATTACTGGGTTTTTAAAAAATCTCAGTAGTAGCACGGAGTCTGGAATTGTGCCCGGTATATGGCAATAGGCTCACCCCCTATTACATGGGACTCATAACATAAATAGTGAAAAGTGGGTGTTACATTGTACAGTGGTATAATGTGCACCTCTGCCTACCCCTTCGGGGATAAAAGGCGTGACGTTATGTTATGTGGAATAGTTTATTCGAACCGGAAACTGGATCTGAGATCCCATCACCTAATTGAACAGTCGCGTTGGTGACAGCACACAATTACTATATCTCAATCACTATACACCGTGAAATTTATTTAGTTTTCGTCTCGCGGCAAAACAACTTATCATAAGGATCACTTCACTTTCAATGTATAAAGTAAAAACAAAAAGTATAGACGCATTTCTTTTTACTTTAAAAATATTAATTGACTATTGCAATATCCAATTTCGCATATGACACTAAACGCACGACGTAAAGGCACTATTCGCATTGCACGTGCCACCCGACGAGAAATACTGCTTCGAGAATTACGTGGCGTGATGTTTGATTACGTACTAAGAGATCGTATGCACTTTCGAAGTTTACTTTTTGCAATGGTTCACCACATACTACCAATATTGTATTACCGAGGCAGAATCATTTTACTTCGGGACGAAAACGAAATAAATTTCACAGTGTATAACTTAAAAAAATAACTGTTCATGCGCAATATGTATAATAATCCCCACTCTTACAGGTATCATTCCGCGAAGGCGACCTAATCTCGAACGTAACATCAATCGACTCCGGCTGGATGACTGGCCAGGTTCTACGCACGGGCCGGACCGGCATGCTCCCAGCTAACTACGTAGAACTAGCGACCCCCAACGCTGCACCCCATTTCGACAACTGATGTCGGGGCTAATGACCCCCGATGGCAATGTAATTGTTTTGTTGTATGTGGTTGGGATGAAAAGTGTTTTGTACTTTTATATGTATAATAGATTTTACCTGCGGTTTTGCTCATAATATGTAAACTCTGAAATTCCAACTAAATGTATGCAAAATTTCAAGAAGGTTGGCACTTGTGATGCCTGTGTTCATGAGATTATGATGACAAAATCTCATAAAAAGTTAACATTCCAATTTTTGTACACAATCACATTCTACAAAATAATTGATTGCCGTCATCCTATGTCAGTTTAAAACCTGCAATTCTATTGTTAAGTCATATTAACTAATTAAAATAAAAAAAACAATCAAATATTATGCAATCGTGCCTTTAGTATAGATACACGAATTTGTCACCTTTTTTAAAACTTTTGTAATGTAAAAATTGCAATGTTTTGTACTTTGACGCATTTTGTACTAAAATTTTAACTTATTTAATGTGAACTTTTGATGGTACTAATTAAAATTTGCACTCTGTCTCATTGTTATTACATGGTACTTATAACATAACCGGTAAAAAATGGATGTTACATTGTATTTGTGCATCCCCTTGGGAAATAAGTGTATACTGCCAGTTAAATGGCTTCAAAACGGCACATTTTAGGATTTTATAAATATTTTAACGTGGTTAAACGTCTCGATATATTTTTTATATAAATAATATTTAAATATGTATGTAGTCTTATCGCCTACAATAGTTGTAGATTTTAAATTATGGCTGGACCAGATTTTTTGCGAAAAATTCGACGTCTTATGATTTTTTTATGATAAAGTTTAAAAATTGCCACGTAGCATTGTTTTCTTATGTATATTGTTATGAATATACATTAAAACATTTTTGAGGGTATGGACCCCATAAAATATGACTTCACATATCTGAAAATTGTAATGACTGAGTTTAATAAAATAAAGAAATAAAAAAGCCTTAAAATACGACTGCTGTACAGAGGCCTTAAGTTTTAATTAAAATAGAAATAACTATAAACTTTGATATTAAAGTATCTTATGAACATTCTCTCGGGTCGAAAATTTCAGATTCCTGTATTATCTTTTATGAAATATAGTTTATTTATAAGTGAAGTACGCTTTTATGAATATTGTCAACACAATTTTTTGTCCAACGTAGTTTGAGTCGACACTAAGTCTTAATCAAATTCTGTATGTCACTATTTTACATGGAGCAATTGTCATCTCCAGAACGTTTTAAAAATATTTTCGAGTAGAATCTTAGTATGTTGTTATACTATTTTAATTTATTTATGTGATGTTTTTAACTCAAAATTTTAGTAAAACGATCAAAACCAATATTGAGATTGTAAGCATTTTATTGTCATTCCATTTTATACAAATAAAGCTTTATTTCTTATATTTTTGCTATTTTATATTTTATTAATAATATTTATTTTATCGATAGTCCACTTACAAGATGTTGACACTTAGCAGTCTTTACGACCCCTTTCGCCAATTGGGGCGTTTAGATCAGAGCTTAGAAACGGGGTCTAAATCCTTCAGACGATATCTTATGACCCCCAATGGCAATTTAAGCGGGGAAACACTCAGAATTGCTTTATAAGTATTTATATTTTATCATATAAGAATGTTTCCGACATATTTCCCTGATTTATATTCTATTCCCAAAAAACTATAGTTCAAGTAAAAAAAATTCCAAATTTTAACGTCACCTAGAAATATGTCCGATACATAGAAAAAACTATGAATTACTGTTATAATATGCTTAGAATTAACATTTTAAGTACCTGTCATAAGGTCGCTTGTAAATACACATTTTTAGTATAACATTATATTGTTATTTTAAGTATACCTATTACACGACATGTAAACATTTTGCATAATACTTTGGCACTGATCAAGACTAGTTTAACATTCCATGTATCACTGACAATAATTTCTGATAGTATAGGAATCTTATTATTAAATAGATAGGTATCCAAACAATATTTGAGACTGGGGTCATGTCTAAAGGGGCTTTTTGGGGTCAAAATGCCCCAACGGCGAATTTTATTGCCTAATCGAACTGTATATTTAAATGTATCTTAAGTAATAGAAGCAATAAAGCATTGTTACAATAACTGTTATGCCTAAACCATCACAAACGAACGCTATATATTTTATAGGACCAGTATTAAGTTACAGTGCCTTTTGTAATATTTAATAAATTTTATAAGCAACTTTTCTTGGTTTTTATTTTTTTAACATGTGTTTCAAATATTTTCCTTGCCTTACCCTAGTTCACAGAAAAGTGCCGTAGAAATAATGCAAGGATTTTCACTTGAAATAACTTATTTTAGGTAATTAAAATTTAAGTTCTATTTATCTTTATACAAATATACTCAGCAAAAGTAGTCGTCCGAACATAACTATCACAGAACATACATAAGTCAACGCACCAGACGACGACCTTTTTTTTTGAGGGGGGAAAATCATCCAATGACTTCTCCCGCCTAGGTGACGCGAGAGAGAGTGTCTGACTGATTAAAAACACCCCGTTCCTACTCCTGCACTTCGAGCCGGAGCCCTAACCCGTTAAGTCTTCCTCGGCTCCGTACCACACGACGACCTAGCTTACTTGTCTTACCGAAAATTAGAACCAGCTATGGCAAAAAATGCCTGAATTTTGAGGGAGCACAACAGTACAATAAAATGTATTTTTTTATGGGATAAGCCGGTAAATGAACATACGGATCACCATATAGTAAGCAATCCGCGTCGACCGTGGACACCTGGCGTTGGCGTTAAAAGTGCTTTACCGACCTTTTGGGGTTAATTGGGCCTCCCATAATCTCACACGGCGAGACACAGCGGAAGCGTTGTTTCACGTCGGTTTTCCGCTAGGACATGGTATCACTCCAGCCGGCCCATTTCTGCCGAAGCATGGCTCTCCCACAATTAGGTATACCAAAACTACACTCTTGCGGAAATGTGGAAATTTTTGCATTGGATGGGTGAATTTGTTTGATTATAATTAGGTACCTATGTAGTCTGTAACTCTGTACCTGATTGATGACGATGACCTGTACCTACACATATAAAAGACCATTGCAAACTATTGGCATGATTAACTTTTTTTCTTTCGCCAGAAATGATACGTAGGTTATCTGTTATAATAAGACAATATAAGGAATCGACAGGAAACAGAACCAAGTCTATCAACCGTAACCCAACGGAGATAGTAAAGTATTGATGGTATCATTTTGTCAGGCGCCACTAAAATATATTCTTATACATTTATATCTAAATGAAAATCCATCGTACGTGATATTTTGGGGTTTCCATTGATAAGATAGATGAAGTTGGTGGTTACTGTTATATTCAGTGTGGCAGTTTTATCTCTAAATCTCTGCAGGATATGTTTTTTGGTTGACTAAGCGTAAAGAAACCACCGAAAGAGGCATTTGGATTGAACTTGGATTGCACATGCTCGCGTCCTATTCGGGGCCAGTGAAAGGAATCGGACGTGATTTGAAGGCTCCATAGTTAAAGTTATCAGTAAACAGAACTCAATAAGGACTGCATGTATTATCCATCAGACACACATACGTTTAAGTACCTAATACAAGCCATATAAGGCAGCCGGCGATCGCCGACAGCCCGGGGCCTATAAGGCCCCCGAAATAGGTCCGGATAAAATTAGTTTTCCTTCTTAAACATTATTTATGGTTATAGGGGCCCCAAATCGGTTCTGAATTATATTTATTTTATCAAAAAATTTAACTTGTTGTAGTTTCCCCATCACGTAAAAGTACCGCAAGCGGCGCGTTATTTATAGTGTAGTCGTTTATATATTATCGTTTATTATTATATTATTCGTTTATAGATCTAATGCTCATGTGATTGTAATACACACTTTAGGAATTTGCCATAATATTCTGCCCATAGCTGTTTCTGATGAACTGCACATAGGAGATTTCGTCTTGGGAATCTATCGATATGTCATAGTCGTTATTTTTAAACGAAAATGCTTTTAATGAATCTGCAAAAGTGCATCGCATATAGTCCGGGCTAAATTTTGATCTACGACAATCTGAAAGATCTGAAAATGGAAATCGTAAAGAGCACATTAGAATCTACAAAATTGCCGATTATTAAAACTCCTAGGACCGCTTTCCAGGTAACCCTCAATTTCCTCTATAATTACTGAACTAATTCTGAACTTATCAATCTGCCCTACAAAATGGCGGTAAAATGTCGACCTCAAAATCAGATCGATCTGTCGGCGAGTCGATCGACGTCTGCGGGCGTGTCGACAGGGTAGGACAGCGAGTTTAGCGCCCTTTGAGCGGCAAATGTGCGTCGGTCCCGCCGTGGGTGCTACGGGATGTCCTCGATAGTCAGACACACTGGCTGGTGGTCTGACCGGAGATTATCGTCTAGATCGTCACAGTTGACGGTTCGATCTCTTTAAATGTAAAACAAACTCGTAGTAAGCCCTTAGGTCTATGACGTCGGCTGCCGGTGACTTAGGTGCGTCGGGGGTGGTCCGAGCATCACATAGTTGTGGAAGTCTGCATCGTCAAGCAGGCGGCTGCAATCAATTTTGAAATTGCGGCGACCATATCAGAACACCCGGGTCGGCTGGTGGTTGATCTCCACCCCCAGTGCACAGGACGCACGTAGCGTTGGCCCCGGCAGTAGCTGGTGGACGATTCTTCTCCTGACCAGGATTGCCAGTTCTCTGTAGGCAATCCCTGATAACGAAATGTGGTCCTCTCGGTAGACTTAGAAGTCAGTCTGTTTCAACTTGTGCACCGGTTTAAGGTGCGTCACGTTTATTAAGGCCATATTCACTTGTCGCTGGTCTAGCCACAACTTCATTAGTCTGGTTGAGATATTCCTTAAATCATGACCACATATCTGAATGACCTACTTTTTTATGTAAAGGGATGTTTTTGTGAGGGAGGGATATATTTGAAATTTTAGACAAAGATACAATAATCAACGAAATTGCCCTTACCTACAGAGCAATAAACAAACAATTTAATAGGGTCGTCCGGTTCGGGCTAAGTACTCTTTATTTGTACTTTTGCATTTGCTCTTTTCATTTAAATTATATCACTTATTCATAACGATTCAATTTTATTTGATTTAACTGTTTTATAGTAAAATGCGTTATATCATTTACAGGACCGCTATTTATTCATTTTCTAATATATTATCTAATATGATAATAATGGCGAGATGATGTTGAATATAAAATATAGATACAATTGTATTTTTATCATTGTTTTATTCATTAGTAACTGATGGAAATAAGAAAACTGAAATAAAGGGGCTGTAACTGGCTGCAGGCTTTTTATATAATCCATAGTTTTGTTAAGTCCACCCAGTTAAGAATAAACCGGGGTCCCCATATTCAGTCCTAGCCGAGGGCCTTAAATGTTGCCAGACCATCCCTGGGTCGGTAGACCTAATTCTTGAGCCGTAGAAGACCTAACGAGTTCGTAGAGCAGAAGTAGAAACGAGGTGGTTTTTAGTCAGTAAGTCTGACACACCCTCCCGCCTCACCCAGGCGGGAGAAGGCATTGGATGACGTTCCCCCCTCAAAAATAAAAAGACCTCAACTCATTTAATGTATTAGCGTCCTCTAACTCTAACGCATGATCTACAATTGTCGAATGGAAAATAAAAACATGCCACCTATGTATGACAAAAGTAACATTGCCCTTTATTTTCTTAGTGTTGTTCTCTCAAGTAAGTGGCATTGTATGTTATAATTGAGAACTAGATGACCCGGTAAACTTCGTCCTGCCTCAAATTGTTTTTCTCACCTTTTAAACCTTCCCTGGACTTCCACGAACATTTCAAGATCATAATTAGCCAAATCAGTTCAGCCGTTCTCGAGTTTTAGCGAGACTAACCTAACGAACAGCAATTCATTGTTATTGAGAACTAGCTGACCCGGCAAACTTCGTACCACCTAAATAAATTTTTCTCACCTTTTAAACCTTCCCTGCACTTCCACGAACAATTCAAGACCAAAAGCCAAATCAGTTCAGCCGTTCTCGAGTTTTAGCAAGACTAACGAACAGTAATTCATTGTCATATATTGAGAATAAAGTTTCTTTAAACCCTTTTTACCTCGTCGTGTGTCAAGACGTGGATCCACGCGAGACACAACGTATTTTCTATTGTGTCTCATATCGGTGCAATCAAGCGGTTGTGGGTGTGTCAAAAATTCAAACTCCAAAATGCGTCTTTTATACATTTATTTATTGACTATATACTTTCATACATTGACTAAAACTAATTCATGCAACATAAAATCTTATTTTCAATTATGATATAAAAATCTTATACAATATTTATTTTAATACTCCGTGAAGCAACAGCGCTGACCTCAGAGGTCGTCTTTAGGCACTTTTTAAGGCACCATTTAACTTTTCAAGTTGTCATACCAAACTTTATGGGGGTCACAAGCCCCAAGTCATAAGGGGTCATATATCTTATGGGGTCAATACTTGAGTAAAAACCCGCTAAATTAATTGTAAATAAAATAAATTTGTAATAAAACAACATTTATGTCGCCGATCGGCGTCACTTATACAAGTATTTATATCTAAATAACATTAATAATCTGTGATAACATAACAACCTAAATTAAAGCTAATAATTAACATAAAATGGTGAGTAGCTGCCTAATTATATGACATCGAAGTGTAGCGAGACTTCAAACATAGTATTTATAACCCAATTTAATTAGGTTAGACATTCCTTAATTACATTTGGCATGATTATAATATCAATAGGGTAGGGTCCTAAATTTTATTTCAATGTCCGTTTGGTTGAAACATTACACACGTATTTTTCTATTCTCACAAAAATAAATACTTTCGACGATATATATCAGTTAACATCGTGTGACCTCCGACCTCCCTAAATTTCGTCTAATAGTTTTTTCATTATACAACTAACGGACTAATTAGATTTTTAATTTCCTTCATCCTGGTAACTACCCTATTATATATTTACTGTTTTACATGTAGTGTAGAGAATATCCAGTCAACAAATATAGTTTAAATGTAGAGGACATAAGTCTACAATACTTATATTAAAAATGCAGTCTCGCTAACATAATAATAATAATAAATATAACCGCCACTAAACTGGCTATACACAATTAAACTAGTGACACTAAAACAGCAAATCCTGCTCAAATTATATTTAATACAGACTCCATTAATTAATAATAAACATTACAATACTTTTACAATAATGAAAACTCCATTTTTTTATATTGTACTTAGTTTTGACAGGTTTCCGTATAAAAACATTATTTCATCCACTTTAATATATATTCGTAGACAAATTATTTCCTAAGCTGATGTCTTAAAAAATATATTAAAAAATACATCTTGAATATAGCAACACTGTTTTGTAAAAATGTTGAATATAGCAACACTGTTTTGTAAAAAATACAAGTTTTCACTGTCGCAAAAATACATTTTAAAAAATAGAGTATTTTTATCCTAACATCAGTTACGACGTACTGCTTATAACTTCTTATAAACTATACAGTTAGATATACATAGATATTATTTATGTAACATTAGACAAATTACAACTATTTTGACAAGAGTTATCGCCATCAAGATATCTACTGCTGAACATAGGCCTCCGATGACTAAACATTGGCCGGTTGGAAACGACCAGCATCCAGCGGCTCCCTGATACCTTTATTAGAGCATCTTAGTACAAATATTTTAAAAGAATATTCTTTTTAAAGACCAGGACAGTCCTTTATCAATGTAGGTTGTGGTTGGCACTGAATCTTAAGTGATCAATCCCCAAGCGGTCATGCGGTGAGAAGAGGCCTTTGGTCAGCAGTGACCACTCATAGGCTGTTGATGAAGTCAGTAAGTATTACGTACATCTACCCTCCAGAACCCGTTAGATACAAAAATATTCGTGTCAAATAGTTGAATTAGAAACATTTGTCAAACATTACACAAAACAGTACTTAGTCTAGACAATTCTACAGACAATGAGTAAAAACGATATTTATGAGATGATATAAAATGATAACAAACACTCCACATGGCCCCTATTTTCAAAAAAACTCATTCCTTTTATGTCAAAGCCTATTTTTGTAACCTGTGCCTTTAGCCAAACGCCACTTTAGCGCTTGTCTACAGAGATAGTAGAAATCAAAATGTATGGGGACGACACTGACAAAAGTGTCAAAATTTACGTCAATTCCATATAATTTGGTTTTCTATTCTACATGTAGACAAGCTCAAAATGGCATTTGTTGGCAGTATATATATTTTATTGGGTGAATAAATGTACCTACTTTTACATTAAAAGTCCAGCTTTAAATATAAAAATAGCCCAATATACGTATTTTTTTATCCTTGCAATGGATACAATGATAACTTCGAGCGATAACTTGCCATCCCAAAGCAACCACACCCGGAAAGCAAACATTTATTTTATTAACAATGTTACAAGTCTCTGTTAGGTTTAATCTACTAGATAATTCATACAAATTCAATTCCTATTCTTAAGTTATCTCATAGATAAATACCTAACAGTTGGACTGGACTTAAAGCAAGTAAATATACAATATTTAACATAGCCAGTATTTATAGTCGTATTTAGACTAAAAATAATATGAAAAAGACAAATCCGTGTTTCATTTTACGCCTACATCTATATAGAAGATATTTTTGACTGTGCCAAGAACCACAAACAATATAACAATTAGAGAATCTAATTGTTTAATGAGAATATCAAATTCATTTTGTTTAGCAACTTCAAATTTCTTTTTCACCGAACTTGCGCTAAAAAGCGCAAATAAACGTCAAAAGTTGCGCATACATGCGCAAAAATGTTTGTGTCAAAGATAGAGGAATCATTTTAATATCTCAGTATATTTATAATACTTTTATAAATAATTTAGTTTTATATCGAGGTAACAAGCTTACAGTTTTCGTGATGAAAATCAGTTACTGTAGCCTATGTACTGGTATGCATCAAGCTATGCAAAACCAGTATAAAATGACCATCGGATGCAAGGAAAGTCCATACAAAGCTAGACCATAACATGGTTTTGTATAGTTCGGTGATCATCCGTATGTACGCCTATAAAATATAACGTCACGCCTTCTAATCCCCAAGGAGTAGGCAAAGTTCGACGTATTTCATTCATACGAATATGATAATTTCATTGAAAGTTTCTTTGTATGCCTTTCTTTATGACGTAGGATTGACATATTTATTTAATTTAAACTCTCTTATCTTTATTTATTATATTGTTGACCTTATAAAGCTTATTATGGACAAAAAGCATGATTTTATTATATAGAATTTGTGATTTTGATCCTATATACACTTTGTAGTAAGATAACAATATGAAATAACAACTTTAGTGCATTCTTTTAAAGTTCAATTTGTTGAATCAACATCTCTGTAGTTTTACAAAAGAGTTTGTAGAGCCTGCTGGCCCTTATCTAGGAATTTAAAGACTGACGTGTAAAAGTGTTACTATGTACACCATTCGCAGATATAAATATCATTGCATTTCATTTCAGTAACACAACGATTCTTGAAAACGTCTTACAATTTAATGGCGTTTGAGTATTTAAACAAAATACAATTTATTTTTACACAAGTTGTCATTTCATAAATATACCTTATTTTATATCTTCACGCTAATTAGTTGTTGTTGGTAGCGCAGAGGAGTAGAGCGCTGCAGTCGTCAACTCTTTCTAGACGGTAGAACGAATTGTCCGGCATGTGACGAACCAGGTCGTCTGTGAGACGGACACGGGCCCCGTTCGGCCCCGAAACTAGTACGGTTTCACACTCCTGTGGACAAAGAATGTATTTGTTAGTTGGATTTTGAGATAACCAAGATAAGTTACGTACACCCGAATACTGAATGGCTACTCAATATTACACATAACATAACATCACGCCTTTTATCCCCGAAGGGGTAGGCAGAGGTGCACATTGTACGACTGTACAATGTAACACCCACTTTTCACTATTTATGTTATGAGTCCCATGTAATAGGGGGTGAGCCTATTGCCATATACCGGGCACAATTCCAGACTCCGTGAAACAAGTGTGTCCGACCCGGGAATCGAACCCGAGACCCCTTGCCCGGCAGTCGCACTAGCGACCACTCGGCCAACGAGGCAGTCAATCTTACGCGAATCTTACACGAATACTCAAAATAATTAAATATCGTGCCATCAGATAACATAGGATAGTGAGCTGTTATATTTGTTTAGGTATAGCAAAAACGCTTAAACGAAACGCAATATATTTACCTTAGAAGCATGCACGAGCGAGTTCAACTTCTGCAAGAGCTCGTGGGCTCTGCAGGCGTGCAGGTAGAGGGCGCTGTATATGTTACTGCCGGCCGGGCATACGTACACCGTCAGGCGGGGCAAGATGCGTCTGGAAATAACAAATAATATTGAGAACCATCTACTTCTGCGAGGCTCATATTCATGAGCAGTATTCGGTGATCCGCGACGGGGTGACTCTCGCGTTGGTACTACTCATCATCAACAGCCTATAAATGCCCACTGCTGAGCAAAGCCTCTTCTCACACAGAGAAGGTTTGAGCATTATTCACCACGTTTGTTCAATGCGGGCTGGCGATTACCAACTTATAAAATTATAAGCCCAGGTTTCCTCACGATGTTTTCCTTCGTTTGTCAGTAGTGCGTAGATAATCTTAGAAAGTACATATAACTTAGAAAAATTCACATTGGTACTTGCCGTTGGTAGGTTTCGAGCCCGCACCCTCATACATGAGAAGCAGGCGTCTTACCTCCGGGCCACCACGACAGTTACTAGTAACAGTAACAGTACAGTAACCGCGCGACAAGCTAGTCGAGTTCCTCGTCAAACAGTTACGTGAGTAAGCCGAAAGCATAATAATTAATTTACTAAAAAAATTACATTGTTTCGGCAGGTGCCATAGTCATCCATAGTTCCCAGTTTACCAGTCCACAGCAACCCATCCATAGCCCTACCTTTTTTTTCCATTATTCACAATAGTCCTACACTAACCGGGGGCTGTCCTTGGGTGCATTTCCATAGTGCATACAGGGATAGTGGCCGGTTTGTGTGTCCATTACATTTATATTAAAGTTGTCTAAAGGGCATCTGCGCAGTTGGCTTCGGCCCCTCGTACGCCTCCCAAATGACCGGGACCCTGTGGTCCCGTGAATGGTAAAAAAAAAAAAAATACTAATAAATATCTTGATTTAGCTCATGAGATTGTCGACATGTGGGATGTTGATTCAGCAGTCATTGTGCCGATAGTCGTATCTGCCAATGGCCTCATTGCTAAAAGCCTCGACCAACATCTGAGTAGGCTAGCGTTAGATGGTTGGGTCAAGGGCCTGATTCAGAAAGCAGTACTTCTGGACACGGCGCGTATTGTCCGGAAATTCCTTTCTCTGGAGCCCTGACCACCGGTAGCTTGGATTTCTGGTGGGCTACTGCTTTTTATATTTTTAAATGTTTTTTTTTTATAATCAAATATTTAAAAATATATAAATCAAGTATTGAAATAAATAAAGGAAATAATTTACTATTGAAACGTTACTTAATTTTAAATCGTGCTTAAATATCGTGCCATCTCTGTCTTTTACAAAGAATTAGTGGTGACAGAACTATACTTAAGCGCGACTTAAAATTGAGTAGCGTTTCAGTATTTCGACAATAATCTCACGCTACGTCGTCAAACAAGAGGTCGAACCAATACATTAACTCTTTACGTGATGAAATCTAGATCAATATAAAACACTAAAATTATCCTAGCATCTGATATCTATTTGTAGATATTTTGGACCGACTCCAAATTGTAGCGTCACTGTCACATAATTAGAAACTGCAATTACAGTACATAATACAAAGCAAACATAATAACTACGAACTTTTTATGGTCTAAGGAGGTGAGCAGAAAAGGTTACAAGTCGTGGTGGTCCGGACGTTTAAGGTGACCGCTTCTCATTCGAAACCTGGTAAGTACCAATGTGACTTTTTCCAACGTATATGTACTTAATATAACATCACGCCTTTTATCCCTGAAGGGGTAGGCAGGAGTGCACATTACGGCACTTAATGCCACTAGACAATGTAACACTCACTTTTTACTATTTATGTTACGAGTCCCATGTAATGGGTGAGCGTATATACCGGACACATTTCCATACCCCGTGCTACTACTGAAAATATTTTTAAAAAACCCAGCAATACTTTGCCCGACCATGCCATGACCGGCCATCGGGGCAGTCAGTTATATGTACTTTCTAAGATTATTTAGACACCTTTGTAATTATAAGTTAAAAATCGCCAACCCGCACTGAGGAAGCGTGTGAGAAGATGCCTTTAGTCAGCAATGGCCACTTATAGGCTATTGATGATGACGATGATGACAAAATTGGTATATCAGTAGAAACATGATGATAAATAGATTTTATGTTAGATTTACTTACTTGGCATGCAGCGCGTTGAACAGACGGATACCGTCAGGGAGTCCGCAAATCTGGATTATATCGTCACGGGTCAGCCTGAGCAGATCAGCTCCCGAGAAGTTGGTGAATGTGGCAGCGTGGTGGGAGAAGCGATGTCTCGCCAACCACGCCTGCGTCTCCGAGGAGCTCGCTTCTTTGGACAGACCAGAGTTCTGTAACAAAAAATACAAATTGTTAGATAATAGCCACGTTGATACTAATGTTAAGCAGAAGACTGCAGGGTTGCCGCGGTGGCTGGGCTGACTGGGTGCCGCGCAACGTGTAGCGGTTTCGATACTCGCACGGAGCAACCGTGAACCCGATTGAAAAAGAGTAACCTATGGAGTTTCTTGCTCGTTCTTCTCCATAGGAATCAACAACTTGGAATGAGCAAATAGCTTCACTTTTAATTTTAATGTTGACGTTCAAAAGTGCCTTTCTGGTCTAATTGAAATAAATGTTTTTGACTTTGACTTGACAACTCATTTGTGTATTCAACAAATTGTTGTTCTGGGTGTGATGTGTGACGACACAGGAGAAAATCCTAGTGTGAGACGTTTTCTCTAAAAAAATATATAAAAAAACAATGTGAGCCCGGTGGTGGGCACCCAGACCCGGAACAAGTCGCGGAAAACCTAACGGGTAACCGGGGCTCCGGCTCGAAGTGCAGGAGAAAGAACGGAGTGGTTTTTAGTCAGTAAGAGTCTGACACTACCTCCCGCCCCACCCAGGCGGGAGCAGTCATTCGATGACTTCCCCCCTTAAAAAAAGACCCGGAACAACAATTAGAGAATTGAACCCGCTTCACGTTGTGCGGCAGCCGGTTGCCCAGCCATGCGTCAACCATGCAGTCGATATATCTACAACTAGCTTTTACCCGCGGCTTCGCTCGCGTCACAAAAGGATAAAAAGTAGCCTATGTGATATATACCAATACACACAGCGCCATCTATACCAATACTTTTGTTTTCCCTCGGGAATATAAAATGTTTCCATGATAAAAAATACCCTATTATTTAATCCGGACTTATAACTTTACGTCTGCAAAAATTCAAAGGAATCGGTTTGTTAGTTACAGCGTGAAAGCGGAACAAGCAAACAAACAAACTCACTTTCCCATTTATAATAGTATAAGGATAAGGATTTCTTTTTCTCCACAGACTCTTGTCCGTGACCTTGTCATTCAAATACATTTTCTTTTATTTTACAGTCAAAATACACATATTAAGTTTATAACAAAGAAGGATTGTGTTTACCTGTACCTTTTCAGGATCTTCAGCGGGTTGCGGCAGGTCGGGCAGTATGGCGCCGGGCGAGTGGCACGGCGGCGAGTTCACTTTCACATCATTCGTCCTGGGGACAATATCATACAATTGTTTTAACATGATCACAGTACATAATACACATTTATATTTAAGCATTATGTTTTTTTTTTTGTTCTATTTGTTAGGGGAGCCTGGGCTTAACGACACAGGGAATTCTAGTGAGGTCCAGGATATAACAAAATTGTAATATTTACATTCTTATTTAGTTTTATAAAATATATAAAAATATATAATATAGTGTTATTAGAGAGAGGTGTGGATTGAAAGACGATGTAGTGACAAGGATTGAAAAGGGAATGTTACGCTGGTTTGGACATGTAGAAAGGATGGATGAAAGTAGAGTAACGAAAGAAGTATACAGAGCGGATATGAATGGAGCCGTCGGTAGAGGGCGCCCTAAACGGACATATAGTGACCAGATTGGCGATATATTAAAGAAGGGCCAAATTAAAAGTACCCTTAACCGACGAGCATGCATGAAAAGATTGATGACTGTTAATGAAGCGAAAGAGGTATGTAAGAAACGTGGTAATTGGCGTTCCTTAGTCTCTGCCTACCCCCATGGGAGACAGGCGTGAAGTTATGTATGTATGTATGTATAAAAATACTCCATAATTATATAGGATACTCTTTTAGAGAAGACATTTGGCACTTTTAATTTAAACCTTTCTTAATTCGTTCTGGTGAAATTTAGTGAGTTGCTTACTCGTTTTTCTCCATGGGAATCTACACTTTGCAAAGAGCAAATAGCACTTTTCATTAATATTTTTATTTTATTTTTGACACTCCTTCAACTTTGAGAACTGTTTGTAAAGTCCCGAGTTCGATGACTGAGCAAATGCGATCACGTTAATCGATATTTTCATCATTAATCATTAATTCTGATAAAGTTGTAGAAAGTACATTATTTATCACTATGACAAATTTAATTTTACGTAAATTTTAAAATAATTAAATCACTCCTTCTATTCGCAAAAGTGGTACTCGTGTGGAAACGTATCCTTATCCCTTGGTAACGTAACCTTATCTCCCTCCCTACCCAAATCCCTTGTCAAAAATAAGACACAATTACAGATTCAACAAGTGCTGTGTTGTTCGATTCGAGAATCGGACCATAGAAGCTTTGCTCTGCAGTTGCTCTGGCGAGCTCTCTACTAACGAAACAGGCAATAAGAAAAGAATAAGAAAACTATGCACAGATGAATCTCATAAAAATCACACATCTTTTTTAACATTCAATGACTTGTATCGCCCTGGGTAAGGCGAGGGGGAGCGTCAGACTTTTAGGTACTGTACTGTAGCTCTATACAGGAGAAGAACGGGTGGTATTTATTATTATAAATTCTTATCCTGTATAGAGCCGGAGCCAGGGTAACAATCACAGCGGGACGATCTCCGACACCGAGATAATCTCCGGCCAACGAAAGCATGGGCAAGCAAGGACAGCTCGCCGCCCAAACAGAACCAGACCCGACCGTACCTACGGCGCGCCTCAAAGAGCCAGCAGACCATTACAGATGGCGCCCAATATGGCTGATACAGAGCCGCGGAGGACTTAACGGGTTGCCGGGGCTCCGGCTCGAAGTGCAGGAGTAGGAACGGGGTGGTTTTTAATCAGGAACAATCTGACATTCCCTCTCGCCTCACCTAGGCGGAAGATATCATTAGATGATTTTCCCCCTCAAAAAACACAGATCCAGTAGTAAATAGAGCAACGATATGAGAAGTGTTGCCAAAACTTTGTTTACTAATGTGTATTTAGAACCGGCCTTCCTGAACGACCGGTAAAATACGTTATTTATGTTTCCATTTTATTATTTTGGAGCTCTTCCTGTTTCTTTTATTGATGGTTTTTTATGCGGTGGAAATTGGAAATCCGTTGTATTGAGATTTCCGACAAAAATTAAAGGTTAATTCAGCGATTTTGGATTTATACCACGGCGGTGGCAAGAAAAGCACACGGCCTACCTGGGGGGGCTTACTATTGAATCCCAATTTCGATCGATCGACATTGGTATTGTAAAATTTCGCACTCTTGAGTTGCAACACTAGAGCCCATTGCATCCGTATTGAATGCATATTGAATGAACTAAATGGTATTGAGTTTGATTTTATATTCCGTACTCTGAATACTATTTTAACATGATAGTGTTACATTGTACAGTGGCATAATGTGCACCTCTGCCTACCCCTTCGAGGATAAAAGGCGTGATGTTATGTTACGACACTGACACTGGCATTGTGAAGCGTCCATAGCATCCATAGCATCCGTATTGCGTGGATATTGGATGAACTAAATGGTATTGAGTTTGGCTTTATATTCCGAACTCTGAATACTATTTTAACATCTACGATAGGGGTTGTATAGTGTTGACATTGAATAATTATTGAGATTTTATTGGATTGAGATTCAGAATGGCTTCAAGAGAAAACGCCCTGATGGTTAAGTGGTTACCGTGGCGTATGAACGCTTGCAAAACATGCGCCTAAGATTAAGACTGGATATTAATTTCATTTGTATTAGCAAATTGAGTGTTTATGGGATAAAGAGCACACTAGATGCATGGTAAGCGATCAGCCTCACACGAAGGTCACCCGCCACCAGATAATAGAGTAGATGACTAATTTTTATTTTAATGTCCGTCTAATATATTATTTTAAAACATCACACACGTATTTTATATTTTTCTTACAGAAACGAATACAATCGACAATATATTGATTTAAAATGTCGCGTGACTTCTATGTACATATTATTTATGTAGAAATGACGTTTTAGCCCCCACTCCTAAACTTTGATTCGTTATATCTAAGTATCATTATATTATACATCAAAATATTTTTTTTTCTGATATTTTTTCATTATCTAACTGACGGACTAATTAGATTTTTAATTTTCATACCCTGTCATCATCCCTATTGTTGCCAGCCTAGTAGTAAATGCACGGGTCAACAAAATAAACTAAGAAAATAAAATAAATACTCACTCTTGTCCGTACGAGGTCTTCATTTGATTGTTAGATGCGAGTATTGCTGAAAAATAAAACATACATTTAATACTGCCTGGCCGAGTGCTCGCACTTGCGACTAAGGGATCTCGGGTTCGATTCCCGGGTCGGGCAAAGTATTATAGGTTTTTAAAAAAAAAATCTCAGCAGTAGCACGGATTCTGGAATTGTGCCCGGTATATGTCAACAGGCTCACCCCTAATACATGGGACTCATAACATAAATAGTGAAAAGTGGGTGTTACATTGTACAGTGGCATTAAGTGCTGTATTGTGCACGTCTGCCTATCCCTTATGATATGTTACTTAGTATAATAAAATCGTAAAACAGTCAAAACTGTACAATAACTGTATTATACTATATATACACTGCCTCGCTGGTCGAGTGGTCGCAAGTGCGACTGCCGAGCAGGGGGTCTCGGTCGGGCAAACTATTACAGGGTTTTTAAAAAAAAATCTCAGTGGTAGCACGGAGTCTGGAATTGTGCCCGGTATATAGCAATAGGCTCGCCCCCTATTACATGGGACTCATAACATAAATAGTGAAAAGTGGTTGTTACATTGTAGTGGTATAATGTGCACCTCTGCCTAACCCTTCGGGGATAAAAGGCGTGATGTTATGTTATATATACATTAAGAAACTCACCATTATGTGCTAATACTGGCTTGTTGACCATTATTGGGCTAGCGACTGTCTTTGGGGCCACACTGTAACAAACACACATACACATTAAATACATTGACAAGCACAAATCATTAAAACAAATCTAATACAGTGAAATAGGTTAGATAACTAGGTGCAATTAGGCCTAATTTTTTACTTTCAAAGACATAGTCAACATCATTAATTCAATTAGACTATGAAAGCACTTTTAAATGTCTTATATCCAATTTAAAATATATTTTTTTTAAAGTAACGATGGAGTTTCTTTCTACACTTTGGAACAAGCGCCTTTTAACTGACAGACAGAAGGACGGACGAATAGGTACTTTCCTTAATCAAAAATAAACTAGACTAGTCGGAAAGTACCCAATTCAATTTTTGACGTTTCAAAAGTGCGTAATTAAGGAAATTGTATTAAATGCTTTGACTTTGAATAAGAATCTCATTATATGCTCCCCCTACAATCCACAAGTCAGCTATGTGGTAAACAACCACTTTTCTATAAGTCGTAGTTTTACATATACATATTTAACCTTCCAGAAGTAAGCTATGTGTAAACCGGAAGGATCCCGAAAAACGCCGACAGATAACGGTAAAAATACAGTTTTATTTTCATAAAAGTAAGGTATTAAATGTTTCTTTTATATAATAAAAGTCGATCGAGGCTTATGTTGTATGAAATAACACGAAAATATAAACGATTAAAACGGTAAAACCAATTTCTTTTAGTCAGCGTTTCGGGACCGTTCTGCTTACACCCTGTATGGTACACCAGAGTCTACAAGTCGTAATTTTGGCTGTACATCGTCTGTCAATCACTCATTCTGCTATAATTTCTATTCAACGTCATACCGAAAGGCATTATAAAAAAATCAATGCATAAATCGTTGTTTATGCCAAAGCAAGCAGCAATTAAAAAATTTAAAAAAAAAGTAAGTAATTACGCCGTTATTTCTTACATACGAATCATAGTGATACGGAAAAGTAAACACGTTTTGTAGCTATTCAGGAAATAAATATAGATTATATTTAATCTATTGTGTCATGTTTTGATAAGGATATAAATACATTTATATAAATATATTACCTACATTGTTATGAGCTAAAGGACATACAGCCAGTCTCAATAAATATTCAAGTATGGGATAGCCATGCCTCGGCACGAATGGACCGATTCGACCAGAGTAATACTACGGCCGATCAGAAAACCGACGTGAAACAACGCTTGAGTTGTGTTTCATCGTATGATTGAGGTTACCAGAGGCCTAATCCCCGCCTCCTCTTCCATAATCCCTGAATCTTTGACAATCCTTAAATTCCTAATCCCCAAAAGGCCAAAAGCACATTTGTAACGCCTCTGGTGTTCCAGGTGTCCATGGGCAACACCAATTGCTTGCCATCAGGTGATCCATCTACTCATTTACTGAATTATCCGATAAAAAAGTATATTCATTGTATATATTCATTTACAAGATGTACAAGTTTGACATGACCTCCATACAAAACGTGTACCTATTCCTCTTATTTTGTATTTGATACAAGGAGAATGTTCAGTTTTTTAATTCTAAAATGGTTCTTTGGTTGTTATATCTCTCACCATTCTTGTTTCAATTTTACAGTTAGAGAACATGCTAATTAGAGCCTGTCTTGTAGCCTATTTGCAGAAATATAAAAAGGAAAGAGCAGAAATTTTAAAATTTGCAAATAATCTAATAATCTTTAACCCATCGTGTGCCTAAACGTGGATCCACACGAGACACAATGTATTTTCTATTGTGTCTCATATCGGTGCATTGAAGCCGTTAAAGGTAGAACATTTTAAAAAGTCCAGCTGTATAACTCCTATTAAAAGTAAAAACATTATATAAACTGTTTAATATCAGATACCATTGGTTTGATAACAACTAGGGAAGGACTCAATATAGCAAATACTAGAGTTATCTACTGATAATGTAGATACTTTGCAGTAATTATAGTATTGTAATCTGATTAGCGAGTTAATGTGTTAATATTGCTATGTTATGTTGTATAACTAAAGAGTGGATTGATGTTATAATTTTTTATTCCTAAGTAAATAGAGGAAAATAACAGAATATTCTAACCCTGTGCCTCGGAAAGGATGTAAATAACAAATTGATCCTATGCCTGACCTTTCTCTGGTTGTGTCAGTCTGCCATTCCATTCATCAAACATTTAAAAAACTATAGCCAGTAAAAAGCTGGCTAATGGCTGGGTAATTATGAATACAACTGGCAAAAATAGATCTTTTAGGGAAACAGAGTTGACTTCCTCATTGGCTGAGTGTTCGCAAGTGTGACTGCCAGGCAAGGGATCTTGGATAGGTAGGGCAAAGTATTAATGGGTTTATAAAAAAAAACTTAGTAGTATGATGAAGTGTGGAATTGTACCCTGTATATGGCAATAGGCTCACTCCTACTGCATGGGACTTGTAACATAAATAGTGAAAAATGGGTGTCACATTGTACAGTGGCATTAAGGCCATAATGTGCATATCTGCCTTTCCCTTCAGGGATAAAAGGCGTGACGTTATGTAGACTCTAAAAGGTAATATATTATCTGAACATTATGTACAATAAGAACTTTCAAATGTTGCATAGTCCTGCAATCTATTACAAACTATGTTTCAGCTACTAAAAACTAGTTTAAGGTGAATGTTCACTGAGTATGATCCAAGTAAACAATCAGAGGATGTGGTAGATGGATTGTTTTATCAATAGATGTTATATTTAGTTTTATACTAAATAACAAACAACCTTGACACAAATACTCAATATTCTTTCAAGATTATTGTGGAATGAGCTAATATTTCTACTTGAAAATAAAGAATGTTACATCTTTATGCATGTAGGTACACTATGTTAAAATCTAGGTTATGTTTATGTGATGTTTACAAAACTAAAAACCAGTTTTGTAACCAGCAAGATACTGGTTATAGGCAGACTGACATTGACAAATAACCAAGTAAAAACTAACAGAAAAACTAAGTCTGAATTTGTTATCGAGACAAATCAGGGCCTATTACAATGTGATGCGTAGAATATGTCGAAATTATGTTCGTAGCACTAAAAATAAAAACAAAAAGCACATTTACGCCAATCTCGGACGGCGAGCGGGTCTGACGTGGACGTTAGCGGCATTCAACCTCCTTGCCAGTTCCCTATAGGTCGCCGGGTCGGCTTCGATCTCCACCTCGGCCTTCAGAAGGGAGAACTTCATGCGCCACCCTTGCGCCTCCACGCCGTGCACAAGACGAGCACTGAGCACAACCCCACGCCCCAGGTGCCGCGCACTCAGTCTCTGCTCGAGCACGAGCATATTACTCGTCAGCTATAGTCCTGCCTGGTTAGGTTGAAGAAGATGAAGGCACCAGATCCAACGCGATACGCCCGCCCGCGTGCAACCACCATAGCTGGCCCGCAACTCGCTTCAACAACCATTTGTCACGATTATATTCGCACTATGTACACCACAACACAAGGCTCGAGTCCTCAAACTGTTCTTAGCACTTTTTTACTTGTCCAACATATTTGAACAGTCGACTGCCCGCAGAATATTATACGCGAATGTAGATTATCGATCACTGCAATGCGTTATTACACACGAGATTACACTGGTTTGATTATTTGCAGTGAAAAATCCAACGAATATCAGCGGAAAATAATTGCGTTGAATAGAAACAAAGGAGTACGTGACAGACGACGGAGCGCGAGCGACTGGGCGTAATGGCCGCTGATTGGTCGCGAGTGAGGCGCGCACCTCGATTGGATCAAAACCGGTTGGAATCGGTTCGCAGAGGCTGCGGCCGGCTCGGGTCGGTGCATCGTTCGTGCGCTGTCGAGCGCTAGTGCTGTGACACGTATGTTTATGTCGTGTCGATTCGGTTTTTTCGTTTTATTTTTAAATGAAAAGGCAAGTATATTTTTTTCTTGGTTTTGGTACTACTGGAAAACTACCAGGTATAGCAGTAGACACGTAGGCTATTTTTAACTGTAAGTGTAGGTACAATAAATTGGAGCGTTGTTAATATAGAACTTAGACAAATTGGCAACAAACCGGATATAATAATCGCTTTATTCGGTTTCGCCCAATTGTGTGTCAATTCGTTGCAAACTCATGCAATCCGGTTTCTGCAACCCGTCTTTATCGCTGTTTCTAAGAACAGGATTCTGGATGTTAATAACCGCTATTGTTCATATGAAATTAATAGTGAGTTGTTTCGTTGCAAGGGTTTTTATTTCATGTCATTATTCAAATTACGCGTCGCGATGAGAATAAATGAATAACAACACAATGAGCGTACTATAAATAGCTATTCGGTTGAGTATTTTGTTTACAATTTAGTTGTCATCACAGCAAGTGGTCAAATAATGTAATAAACATACGATGATTCGGTGAGTGGACACGGGCATAATTTATTAGTAAACGTGATGAAATATAATGTCCATTTCATGCTATGACGCTGGTTATTCAATATATCTGTGATTTACACCTATTAACTTATCCTTTTATAACCCTATTGACAATTTTATTCGACATCTGAGCTGACAGTTACCTGACTGAAGTAACGAAACCAATCATAAAAGTCTACCTACTTAACTCGTCGTTTTTTTCTTCTTTCTTTCTTTCTTCGTCTTTCATTGGAAATCCAATGATTTCCAGTTTAAATATGGCGCACTGTCCTAATTTTTGTGTATTTTTTTCTTGTCATAAATCTAGGATACCTAAATATTTCGTGGCAAAGCTCCAGTTGGGTGGAAGAATGACATTGAATTATAAATATGAATACAGTATTATCGTGTATGAGTTATGAACCAAATATCAGATTCGGACGATCCGTTGGTCTACAGATCGTGAGTATAAAAATTAAATCGATATTTTCGTTGAGTAGATTTCAATAATCACACTTTTAACTACAGTTTTTGGGAATAACCGGTATCAAAACCAATGTAATGCAGGGAGCGTACACTCAAGGTAATAACAAGTATCGGTATTGCAGATTGAGGCCACATACACTCGATAACAG